GAAAGAGTTTTCCGAGGAGGTAACATTTAGTGTGCCATGGCAAGTATTAGGGGAAGAGTATTTCTGGCAGGAAATAGTGTGGTGTGTTTACAGAATTAAAAGCAGACCAGTGTGGCTGGAGCACAGACTAGGGGAAGAGCTTGGGGTGTGGTGGGAGGGAGGGCCCAAGGCCACATCAGGAGGCTTTGCAGACAAGGTTGAAGGGTTTGGGTTTTGTTTTCAGTGCTCACATCTTCCTGAGAACTTTGAGCACTGTGTAGAGAATGGATTGCAAAAGCACAAAAGTGGAAGCTGTGAGACCTGAACAAGGCTGTACTGTGTGTCCTCTGATGACGAAGGGGACTATAATGGTGGCACCCAAGATGGAGAAGAAAGGGTAGTTTCAGAGTATATATTTTAAGAAAGTCAGCAGGACTCGTTAAGGAGTGGGAAGTGGAGTGAGGGAGAGGCTATGGAAAGCAAGGATGATGCTGAGAGCATTCTATTGGGGCAGCATAGGTTGAGTGCCCCAGTTGCCTCATCTGTAAAATGGCAGTATTAGGGGACCTCCTCACTGGGTTGGTGGTGTTGATATTTGTAAAGCACTTAGAACAGAACTTGGCACACGGTAAAGTATTCTGTAAGCATTGGTGATGTGGATGATGGTAATTCATCCAAGGTCGCACAGCTGGTCAGCAGCAGGTCCAGGATGAGAAGCCAGGCTTAGTTTCTTGGTGTATTTTATGCTACACTGAGCTGCCTCCTTCAATTACCTTGAACTCTTTTGTTTACGCAGACTCTTGCTAGAGCATTTGGTTGTCGTGGTACATGATGAGTCGCATATCGTAACACGAATGTCACATCAAACACAATAAATTACTAGGGTGTTCTGTGCAGCCTGGAATTCCAGATTATTTTGGCTGTCCATAAAACTGTGCTGTTCCAGACAAAACACAGGGCCTAGATAGTGGGAGAAAGGGGGTATAGGAAGAGAGATGGTCTGTGGATGGATTTTTAAATATTAAAAGAAATATCTTCCAGAATATAGATGTGCTCATGTTGTGCACATTCTTAGAGTGGAGCAGACACATGCACTGCAACAAGAGTCCTTCATACCACAACTTATAGATCAGTGCATGCAGGGAGAAGGAAAGAAGTAAAGCTAACAATGTTAGTGTAACTCCCCCAGGTTGTCAAGTTCCTAGTGATACATCTTAAAGAAGTGTTTGAAGTGCTTCTATCTGTCGGTTTCAACTAAGCTAATTTTTAAAAATTGTTCTTTGTACTGTGGCTTTCGCATGAACCTCTGTGAATTTAATGCATGCAATATGTGGGGGGAAATCCTATCAGCCTCAGTTCCCATCCCCCTAAAGTCTGAGAAACAGATTTTCAAAGCACATTGTTGCACCTGCAAGGATTTTGTCATTTTACAAAATGGACCTGAGACCATGTTCAGCATGTCTTGCAGGAAGGAATTTCAGAAAGAGGTGAGGGAAAATGCCAACTTGGCTGTTCCTGCCTGCTGTTGACTGTTTTGTTGCACCTCTATCTCAAACAGCGTGGGGAGGACTGTTCCTCATTACCAGGGAATGTGAGTCATTCCCAGACTTGTATGATTGGGATTCCAAAGCGTTGCTGTATCCGATGGTCTTATTAAATCCAAGTGTCAGTGCAGCCTTTCAGACTGTAGGGGAGAGCTCAGTTACAGCTGGTGACCTGGTTCTAGTTACCACACAGAGACACTGGTGAGAGCAGTGACCCCCTCTAAGCACCCAGAATTCCTCGTGGATGGCTGTTACCAACTGTTCCAAGATTTGGGTTTCCTGGTTCACTTCATGGGTTTCAATACATTTTAACTCCCTGTTTACATCCTAGTTTGGATCTGTATACTTTAAGGGAAAATGTTCTAGTGTCTGTAGACAAGCTAGTGCCAAGATTAGCCTAGCATTTAGAGAGTACCCCGTTTCAGATTTACTCAGCCCTTACAATGTTAATTTTGCTGTGTCCAGGATCTAGCAAGACACTATCCATTTCTAGCTTCGTCCAAACAAAACAAATAAAACATCAACCAGAGAGGGAGGAGACTATAGATGTTGCCAGAAAATTAGTTTGCTCTGTCTTTTCTTTTTCCTAGAATGTTTCACAGCCAATGGTGCAGATTATAGGGGAACGCAGAACTGGACGGCACTGCAAGGCGGGAAGCCATGTCTGTTCTGGAACGAGACTTTCCAGCATCCATACAACACTCTGAAGTACCCCAACGGGGAGGGAGGCCTGGGCGAGCATAACTATTGCAGGTAAGATGAGTCCACGCTGTACTTAAAAAATCTCTGGTCTCTTCTTCCAACCCTTTCCAACCTTGCTCACAACTAGGGAAAGCATCTTTGTCTCCCTTTGACCAACTCAGAAGGACTTTCTTGTTACTATTTTAAAAATCGTTCTCTGGTATCTGTGTGTGTGGGTATGCATGTGCGTGCACACACACACATACACGCAACCTATTATTTTTAACTTGAGTTGCTTTGATACTGGTTTTCAGAGCTCTGCTTTCCTGTCTGATCACTTACATGTCTTTTTGGGAGGATTTTCTTAGTTGGCTCTTCCACCAGTGGACAGTACACAGATAGCAAAACTTCTTAAGCTACTGTGAATGTAGTGGGCAAGCAGAGCACCATCTGTGGCCCAAACCTCCCCCTGCTTCTGAACAAAAAAAGCTGCCCCCTGTATTATCCCACTTTCTGCCAGCACAGGATAACCGTGCTCTGGGAGCAGCTGAAGCCATCAGATTTGTGCTGTTTTCTTCCTTTCAATAGACTGAAGTGTTTCTTTGCTCTTTACCTCCTGTCTGACTCTAGCAGGAACTCTTAACCTGAGATCCATGATGTTTCAACTGTGTCCCTGCGATTTTTTTCTAGGGAGATGATCCATGCCTTTGATCAGATTCTCAGTTATTAGTGATCCAAAACAAGTTAAGACTCGCTGGTCCATAAGGACCAGAGCAAAAATTCTAAGCATTTTTGGTTATAGCTTTGTTTTAGCTATTTATACCCGAGACCCTGGTATGTGACTCATACTTCAGCAATGTGTTGAATTTAATTATTATTAGGACAGGTACAAAGCCATTGGGACAGGGAATAATAATCTCTGAGCTTCACTTTGAGCTACACATGGTGTCCCTGGTTCCACCAGAATGTTGGATTCTCAACCATGGCATTGTTGACCCAGCTGAGCCAACATATTTATATCTGCATTGCATAGGCCATACTGTTTACCTTCTGCTCCCCCTACATACCTTTGCTAATACTCTAGGACTTTTGTAGTTGTCTTGAAGTCACCAGGCCTGTAGTTCATGTTATCTTTATCTCTGCATCTTCAGCTCTTTCCTTCCTCTCTGCCCTGATTTGTACTGGCCATTCCCCCATATTTGTATGGCATTATTTTTTAGTTATACATGTTCTTCAAATTTTTTTGCATAATTTAAAATTTAACCTCACTCCATTTTTTGTTTATTTTTTTTCCCTAATTTTTCTTTTCATAGTAATAGTTGGGCTGGGAGGAGTGTTTAGGAAGAGAAACCAGTGTTTGTTTTTCGTTTTTACATAGTTACAGTCTTGTTCTAAAGTGTCTCTTATTAGTGGGCTACTGGTTTATTCTGTTATTCTGTTGCTTTCTATCAAGCAAATCTTCTCAGAAAAGCTCTTAAAGGTAAATTTGAAATTTCCAGCGAGGTTAAATATGTATGAAAAAAATTTGTTTCTTATAGATTAGCACCCAGTTCTCCCATAGACTCCCAGAAATATACTAGTAAATATCCATTAAAACAGCAGTGAGAGCCAGGGACAACCTTCTTTCCTCCTTAGCCTTGGCCAGCTATAGCCCCTTCCTGCTTTGATTTGATGAAATGTACCAGACCTGAACTACCGGTTTATACTTCAGAAAAGAAAGGCTGAAATTGTTGATTGTTATCAAAGAGTCCGGCCTTTTGTTTTTAGCACTGCAGTGAAATCAAAGATGAATTTGCTTGTTCTCATTCTGATGCTTTTCAGACCACTTTGACATTGGTAATAAACAATAGTTTTCTAAGGTCTTTACCAAATACTACATCAAAGCTGAACACTGAATAAAGGGAGGAAAATGACAGTGAAATACTGTTTAAAGAAGGGCTTTGTACAAGTTCTCCTACTTTGATTTCTCAGCTGATACCTGACACCATGTTTGTCTTGTGTGATGTTTCCAGATCTATCACAGTTGAGATGTCTGAGAGATGGCCAGTGATGGGAACACACATCTCTGGGCTCGACATATCTGGATTAGGGGAGAAGGCAGAGAGACAGGGAAGAGCAGAATTGGGGCTGGCACCTGCCTTTGGACACACAAAATAAAAGGACCCTTTGTGCTTTAGGGCGGCTTATCTTCTGGGCCACACAATAGGCTTATCCCTCTCAGGCCTCATAGGAGTTGATCCAGAGCTCCAGGCTGCTGGGTCTTTATGCCCATTTCCGGTCTAACTGGAGTGTCAGGTTTACAGTGTTCTGAGTCTAAATAAAGGGAGCTTGGAGAGCAGTGAAGAGAGAGAGGCGAGGCCTTTCTGTGTGTCCAGTAACCCCTGCTATTTTTTGGTCTGTTTCAGCGGTGTTGCCATTATTGTCATGGCATCTCTGAGTTGAAAAGACCTTAAAGGGCATTTATTCCAAGCCACTCATTTCAAAATGTGAAATAAATCTTTAAAAAATATTGCTATATCAGAAGATGGTACCAAGATTACAGGATTGATCTAAACTCTTTGGCATAGCTTTCTTCAGAATTCTCTGAGAAGTTAGTATTTTGAGGTAGGACTAGGACCCATTTCTATCAAACATAAGTTGGCCAGCCTGATGCTGGCGAAAGCGTATTGGTGGAATCTATGTTATATGAATTTTGTTGTATTGTTTAAAAATTACACAATTGTTCTTTGTAGAAGAAATAAGAAAATAAGGAGAATCAGAAAAGAAAAAAAAGTTAAAATTATCAGTAGTTCCATCATTCAGCAGTGGTACTTTCAAGAGTTTCGTGTGTATCCTTCTAAGGATACATCTTTTCAAATAATAGGATTGTGTCATCCATCATGTTTCAGAACTACCTTTTAAAAAACCTAACAAGGCATCATGAATATCCTTCCATATTAATAAATGTCTCTCTACACCACATCTTTGCTAGCTACCTAGCATTCCCTCAGTGAAGAGAGAGAGGCGAGGCCTTTCTGTGTGTCCAGTAACCCCTGCTATTTTTTGGTCTGTTTCAGCGGTGTTGCCATTATTGTCATGGCATCTCTGAGTTGAAAAGACCTTAAAGGGCATTTATTCCAAGCCACTCATTTCAAAATGTGAAATAAATCTTTAAAAAATATTGCTATATCAGAAGATGGTACCAAGATTACAGGATTGATCTAAACTCTTTGGCATAGCTTTCTTCAGAATTCTCTGAGAAGTTAGTATTTTGAGGTAGGACTAGGACCCATTTCTATCAAACATAAGTTGGCCAGCCTGATGCTGGCGAAAGCGTATTGGTGGAATCTATGTTATATGAATTTTGTTGTATTGTTTAAAAATTACACAATTGTTCTTTGTAGAAGAAATAAGAAAATAAGGAGAATCAGAAAAGAAAAAAAAGTTAAAATTATCAGTAGTTCCATCATTCAGCAGTGGTACTTTCAAGAGTTTCGTGTGTATCCTTCTAAGGATACATCTTTTCAAATAATAGGATTGTGTCATCCATCATGTTTCAGAACTACCTTTTAAAAAACCTAACAAGGCATCATGAATATCCTTCCATATTAATAAATGTCTCTCTACACCACATCTTTGCTAGCTACCTAGCATTCCCTTATATGGCTATAACATTTATTTAACCAATCCTTAATTGTAGTTTTCTAACGTTTTTGTATTATGAAAATACTAAAGTCTTTGTGGTGAAAGTCTTTGTAAGTAAAGATTTCCTTAGAATAAAGTACTAAAGAAGAAATTGCCAAGTCAAAGGGGTTTACATATTTTTAGGGCTTTAACTCTCATTACCAAATTGCCATCCTGACCATTTGCGTCATTCACATTCTTACCCACATTATGGAGGGCACCTGTGCTCTCAGCTGTGGGAATGGCCATATTCACACTTAAAGTGCCAATGCTGTTTGTCATGATTTCCTGGTTACACTGTAGTGAATTTGGGTAAACATAAATCACCTTTGCTCACTGCTTCCCCACCCCCAAACTCTGAAGTATATGTCAGAGTGAACAGGAATTATCAATGTTTTCTTCTTCATAAGAGGTGGCATTGAGATACATACAACTTATTAGAGATAACAAAAGCTGAAATGTTCCTTTTTGGTAAAACTGAAAAACAATGAGCAGGTGACTTAAAACAATAGAAATGTTATTAGTGTGCCCTTTTCCTCAACAGAAACCCAGATGGAGATGTAAGCCCCTGGTGTTACGTGGCAGAGCACGAAGACGGTGTCTACTGGAAGTACTGCGAGATACCTGCTTGCCAGAGTAAGACTTGAATATACCATCTGCAGATTTCAGGGCACTGAACACTAAGAGTGCAGAGTGGAAGGGCACTGCCAGAGGGCAGGTGGTTCAGGCAGGTGGATTTCATGAAGCAGGTAAAAGGAGAAGCCATCACGGGTTGAGGCTTTTCAGAAATGGTAATGCCCGATTCCCTCAGGACCCCACTTCCTTGATGGATAAGCCCAACCAGAATGTCTACTCCTACTTAATGTCCTCATTCTGATTCTTTCATGGGTAGAGATGGCAACAGCTCAGTAAGAAGTCAGGAAAAAAAAATGTACCTTGTGCTTTGGGGAATTAATTTTTTTAGAATGAGTGAAGAACCCCTTTATACAGTAAAACTAAGTTGTAACACCACTTATTGTTTGTATTTGACATGCTATGTCCCCTGAAAAATGGTATTTAGTAAATAATTAGATACTCCCAAAGCCACTGTGATAGTCCTTTTCCTCACATTAGCATAAAGATGTTCTATTGTATTTTATGAAAACTTATAACTTGTCCCTTTCTCCTACCAAAAAAAAGTTTCTTCAGCCTTTTACTACAAGGTCTGTTTCCTAACAGTTTCACTCACTCAGTCCTATATTTAGTGTTTATTATATGCAGGGTACAAAGGCAGAAAGATACTCTGACCCTCAGGGAATATATGATGTGGCAGGAGATCTTGGGAAGATACTTTAAAACAAGGTAGAAAATATAGGGGGAAGATTTAAAATACAGAACTAAACATGGTACTGTAAGGAGTTTACTAATGTAGTGTTTGTAATATCTTTTTAAATATACCAAAGGAGCAGGGTTTCTCGGTTCCTAGAGCTGCAGAAAAGGATAGATCATTCATAATAATTCTATCAGGGTTATTTTTTCTTATTATTTAAACCTACTCCATGCCCTGCCACCTTTCTCACTCCTCAGGTCAGGAGGCCCCATATGTAGAGTGATATGGAGGTCCATGTGGGACCTGACACACCCACTGCAGCAGTCTAAATTCTGATGCCCCAAGGGGAAACAGCAGCCCCTAAACTGGTGCTGCAGGCGCAGTGCTAACCTTTCATAAGTTAAATTTCCAAACATCACCCCTACCCGGCTGTTAGGCCTTAGGTTCACTATCCTTCCAACCTGAGCGTGTCATGATTCAGGCTCAGAATTGAGAAAACAGTAAAGACCAGAAGAAAAGGCTTTTGCTCAGTCTGCTTAATCAAATTTTTAAATGAAAAACATCTCATTTGGCTCTAGTTATGTAAAGTAGAAAGGGGCAGGGGGAGAGGAAAGCAGATTTTCCTCGGTCCATTTGTTCTACACAAAGATAGTCTTTTAGTATCAGCCTATGTCATTCTCTCAGGAATGGCAAAGAAGGGTTTTCAATCTGGGTGCTTTTATTTGGAAAGATAATCCTCAAACTTGCATTTAAAAAAATATAATTTGGGCCAATGGGAGCTGACTCATGTGGCCACTGAAACTAAGTTCCAGAAGAGAGAATTATAGCAAAATGGTACAAACCACTAGTACCCTTCTAATTCATACTATTTATTGGATGTGCCTCACTATTCCAAAAAAGGAAATATCATTTCCTTTTCTTATGGCCCTTTTGTGACCCTCTCAAAGCTTCTAAAGCTGCCCTTGAAATGGTCTTGGTAGGGAGACTTACAGAAGTTGGAAATGAGAACTGGGGGGTACCAAGTTTGGGGGCTGGGAGAGTGTCTGGCTTTGGTATTTTGGAAAACTCTTCCATTCACCCTGTGGGCAGCAGGGCTCTCCATCAAGCTGAGCTTCAAACCTTGAGTCTGGCAGAACATTGTTCATCTAGTGGGTCTGATTAACATAGTTGAGAAAAACTGTGATATTTGCAGCAAGAGACCCTGGTAATTAATTGCCTCACGTGGACTCATCTGAGATGCAGCCTGACTATTTTAGGCCAGTTTTGCCCTATTTCTGGATGTGAAGTCATAATTTTCATGGATAATACTAACCCTCTGTGTGAAGCCTGCTATTCATGATTAGCATCGAACTTGTCATAAAGAAAAAGGCCAGTGACATGATCAGATTCCTGGAAAGTTCATATCTGAATATAACAGACCCAGCAGGAGCTGGGGGAATGAATGTTTAGGGACAAAGCAGAATGTGGTTGAATGGTGGGCCATTGTGTAGAGACCGGAATCTCTGTCCCTCAGCGTGTTATACAACTGAAACAAGCAGGGGGGCAGAAAAAAAGTATGACTCAAAAAAGGGGCCAAGAAAAATTTGAACTGTGCTCTTGACCTGTGGAGCATGGATCAGAACTTACTGTTGAAAGAACAACTCCAAGGTAATTGGATTTGCTCTTTAAACCACTTCTGCTAGTATGTTTCTCAGGAACCCCAAGTTCTTAGTGAAGGGAAAAGAAATGCAAATTTTTAAAAGCAAATTCCAGCATCATCAAGTTTACCATCCCTCTAGATCCTACCTTCTAAATCTCTAAGTCCAGCTGGTTTGGCTATTGAGGAGGAAATCATTTGGCTTAAAATTCGTCCTTTGTATATCTCTCTTTTGTTAAATAATTATCCTCACTGTTCTGTTTCCTGTTTATTTCATTGCTTTTGAGGAACCTGCTTGTATGGACCTCAACACAGCTTTTGCTTTACTCTATTTTACCTATAGGTTCTTTATAAAAGTTTTGTATGGTTTTAAAAAGTCAATAATCTAGTTGTGAGTTGTGGGAGGAATCTGCAAATGGTATTGAAAGCTAACATAATTTTCTTCACACAGCTGATTTGGGCCTGAGGCCACAGGCATGAGAAACATGAGAGTTATTTTTGTTTGCTGTAAAACATTCAGCTGATTTCTACAAACCCAGCTATAAAAATTCATCTTTGAAATAGAGAAATTTGAATACAAACTATTACATAATATTAAGGAATCATTAAGTGGACATTTGTTGATGTGGGGTGACGGTCTCATTATTCTTTCCTACTTTTGTGAATATTTGAAAGTTTCCATTGTAAAATATAAATCTTATAATGTTTAAAAATTTTATAGCATTTTAAATATTAAAAAAATAAATACATAAATACAACATTCAAAATATCTGGATTCAAATGTGTAACATGATTAACTTAATTTGTAATACTTTACGTGTAGCTCACAGGTATCTGCATTAGTTATTAAAATCAGTGATTACAGTTTTGGTTATTAAACTTATTAAGACTATTAGTTATTCTTCAAAGTTATTAAAACTTATTTAAATTATTAAAGTTAATGTTAATTATTAAAGATAATTATTTAAAGTTAATTATTAAAGTTTAAAATCACAAGAACTTTAGAAGTTATTAGCTGTGACAAATGACATTTTTAACCTCTGACCATATGCCAGACCTTGTACAACATAAGGGACACAAGGATGGCATGGTCTACAGCCTGTGGGGAGCCTCTAGTCTAGGACCGAAGACAGACTCGTAAACAGATAAGCATATGCAAGATACTCTATAATAAGTGAAATAAGCAAAATGTTGAGAGCACCAAGGAGGTGCATCTGCCCTAGCACGGTGGGAGGCAAGAGCTACTGTTTGTCAAAGAGTGTCGAAGAGGGTTTCTGGAAGCAATGGGGTCTTAGGGCAGGACTTCTTGAATTTTAAGTTTCCTTATAAAAATGTAGTGGCAGTACGGTTACCAGGTGTCTTATTAAAATGAAGATTCTGATTCAGTAGGTCTGGGACAGACTTGAGATTCTGCGTTTCTAATAAGCCCTTGGGATGCTGGAGCTGCAGGACCACACTTTTTATTATCCAGGTTCTAGATGTTAGAATTGCATGGAACAGGGAGGACACTAGAAACAGAGCATGCACACACACACACACACACACACACACACACACACACACCGCAGTTCCCAAGCAAAGTCACCGTTGCTGAGACAGAAATTTTAAGAAGGAAGGCAGGAGATTAGGTCTGAGAAGAATTAGATGAGGCCAAATAATGGAAGATCTTGTGGTGTGGGTACAGAGCTTAGACTTGATCTGGGAAGATGGTGATGAGGCTGAAGAGAGTGTGGAGTGTCAGAAGGAGACCTTTCTCCATAGCTTCTTAAACCTCTGTATTAGGGATTTAGGGCAGGTTTCTCCCTCTTAATTCATGAGAAGTTTTAGTGATTATGTCATTCACATAGACCAGCCCTAAGAGGATGCCAGTGATAGCAACTCTGCAATATGGGACCTTTGGTCAGTCTCAGCCAGTGACCTCACTGGCTCAAGTACCTTTTAATTAAATGGCACCCTAACCTTGTTAAAACAGGTTTTTCGTTCCTTACAAAAAACACAGGTCAAAAAACAGGATTTGAAACTTACAATTTTGATCTCTAATAAGAGTTTTTAAAGCTATGTTCAGAGTCTGAGTAAAAAGCCAATGGCACTTTGGCAGTGGTGGTCAAGGCAGTCTCAATTACAGAAAATGTTTTGTTTCTGTCAGCACTTTCTGCATTTTAATGTCAGCACTGAGTTTTATATGTTTTAGCTTTTATTTGAGCTATTGAGTATCTACTATATACAAAGCACTTACATTCACATTATCTTATTTAACTTTCTCAACAATCCTATGAGGCAGGTTAGGTATGTCCACTTCTAACTTCCTCCCCTATCCCAGCCATTGTTCAGATGAGAAAATGAGGCTAGGCTAGTTAAGTGATTTGATGAGGATTACTCTCTGAGCCAAATAGGATTCGAATCTAGCTAGGACTCCTAATGGCAAGACCAATGCCCTTTCCTTCTAGTACTTGAGAATAGCCCCATATCCTTTATTTCTGTGAAAACGGGCCCTGGGATGGATCCAGGCTACTGTTGAGGTCATTCTTGAGAATTTTCTTTGTGGATTGTTTGGGCATTAGAGTTTGGAATTCTGATGGTATGCCGAATTATTAAGATTGCCTTTTTGCCATTGTGGAAACAAAAAGGATTAACTCAGTGGCGACAGAGGGTCTGCAGTTCAAGCTGTTAGCTCTAAGTCATTTTCTTTTC